TTGGAAAAGGAAGCATTAAGGCATTATCAGCCCTTACCTTATTAGGGCTTAGCTCCAGGCAGCTAGAATCCAAAGGATGAGCAGTTGCTGGCAAGAAGAGGATTGAAGCAGGCATTTTAAATCAAATGCCTACAGGAGCCAAGCAAAGAGCATAAATAAATGAAGAGATTTGGGTGAGAACTGTGAAAAAGTGGAGAGCTGCTTCTCAGCTCTAGCTAACTGCTGCCTTGTAGGAATGTATGCCCTGGGTTATCTCATCATATTTTTCAAAAGAACAAAGATTTGTAAAACTTGATTTTTAAATATTGAAATAAAGTATGTTAGAACATTCTACAACCCAAATATATCTCCATACCAGATACCAGAGATCTGAGATCTCTGATGTGGGGCACTGTACCACCAAGGAATATAACAGAGGGACATAGGGGTATAGCAAATAGGAGGAAAGATGCAATGAAAAAGGGCAGAGTGGGCTCAGTCAATATCTGAGGCTGGCTCTGTGGAGGGAATGCAAACTTGGATTTAAGAAGAGATTAAGACAGTGAGTCTAAACCTTTTGGAGGGTCATGGGTAGCATATGAGATTCTGATAAATGCTTTAGAGATTTTCCCTGGACAAATAAACACATGCAGTAAGCAAAATAATGCCACCTACCAGGATGTCTGTGTCCTCACTCCTTGTCCCCCTCCTAACGTTACCTTTCGTGACAAGAGATTCTGCCAATGTGATTAAGTTAAGGACCCTGAGATGCAGAGATTATAGTGGGCCATCTGAGTGGACCCACTAATCACATGAATCCCTAAAATCAAAAAACCTTTCCTGCCCATGGCTGGTAACAGAGAAGAACAAACCTGACTCCATAATGGATCTATTCCTTTAGCTCTAGTACTCTGTTGCCTGTGCTGAGTCATGCTGGCTCTGCACCTTCTGTAAAAGAATGTTGTCTACGGTCTGAAACACACATATAGCTCATTCTCAAGGCTCTGACTTTTAGAGTTACAACACTTTTCCATTCATACAGAGACAGTTGCAGAACAGAGAACAACCTTTGTTTTGTTGGAGGTTTACAGGAACAGTGTGATCAAGTAAATCTACACAGAAAGCTGCAAGAACAAGATTCCAGCACCAAAAAGTTTGCAAAAATCAGCCAAACCCTCTCCCCTTTTAGTATAAAAGAATTCTGAATTCTACCTCTGGATCTTTGGGCACTAGCCCACCTTCTTCTCAGTCTGCTGGCTTTCTGAATAAAGTAGCTGTTCCTTGCCCCAACAACTCATCTCTCAATTTATTGGCCTGTCAATGAGACCTGCAGTAGGAGCTTGGACCCAGTAACACGGTCAGAGGGAGACACATGGAAGAAGGCTCAGAGAGATGCCATGTTGCTAACTTTGAAAATGCAGCAAGAGGCCATGAGCCAAGCAGTGCAGGCAGCCTCTGAATGCTGGAATAACCAAGGAAATAGATCAATTCTCCCTTAAAACTTCCAGAAAGGAATGCAGGCCTGGTGACGTCTTTATTTAAGCCCAATGAGACCCATGTTGGTCATGTATCCTACAGAATTTATAAAACTATAAATTTGTGTTGTTTTAAGCCACAGGTTTGTGGTCATTTGTTACAGTAGCAATAAAAAGCCAATATAGTATATACACATTCAGACTTTGGCAAAATCATTCATAGGCCTCCCTGAAGCTCACCCACAAAGATAAAGGCTCCTGGTGCTAGAAAGAGCTAACAACACACTCTCAGCGCTGTAAGGTATGAAACTGTTTCCCCTTGGCACACGTGGGAAGATAAATACCCACCCCATGCCACAATCAATTACAAAATCTCACTTCTACAATGATGGAGTCACTCTCTGAACACTAACTACTCCTTTGAGACTCACCCAAATTGCATGTGACACCTTGATGGCTCCTTGCTGCAGAAGTCTTTCTTCCTCTTCTCAAAGTGTTCATTATGCTAAGAACATGCTTCCCCATCTCATCCCCAAGAAGGTGGCATTTTACACCTGCTGAGATTTAGCCTGGATTCTTCCCTCACTTTGAGCCAGACCTAGGTCTGGCGTGTCCTGTTACAGTACCATGTCACCATCAAGTTCTTAATGGGCATGATATGCCCGAACCTGGCCATATGCTGGCTTAAAACGGAAGAGGAATGTTATCAGGAATGTGAGCTACCTGAGTCAAAGTTGTTTTTAGCCTCAGATCTCATTTCATCAGTTCAGCAAATTTCACAATCCCTGTAATATTTTGAGATTGTTTTTCTTTTAAGTTCCATTAGAATGACCCTAGGTAACGCCACCACGGTTGTGACAAATAACTCTGCAGTTTAAAGGTTGCCATCCCAATCTAAACACTAAACCTAATATACCAGACACAACTAGCCTAACAAAGCTCCTGATCTGGGACTTAACACCGGATCCTGTGATTGCCAACACTGGTGCACAGACAATTCTGGAATGCTGCTGGCTCAGAAAGCTAGATCCTGTCAAAGTAGAATATAGAGGCTAGAAGGGAAAAAGAAGAAAAGAACAACAAGGTATTTGGGGTCCTATGGAAGTTTGCTAAAATGTAGAGGAAGAAAGACTAGAGACCAGATCTGTTTTTGCAAGAAATGGCCAATCTACTGGGGAGAGAAGCTTGACTTAGTGAGGAAGGCTGCCCAGTGACCCTGTATCTGATTCCTCTTCCCGACATACAGAAGAGGTCTAGGAACCTCCTAAAAATTTACATTAACTTTTGTGTGTATGTGCATCCCTTTTGCTCTGAGGAAAGGTGCTATGAATCTGAGAATCTTAATGAAACTAACTCCCTACCCCCAAATGTAAGAACCCCTGCCCAGGGGAGAGGAATAGCTCAGTGGCAGAGCATCTGCTTAACATGCACAAGGTCCTGAGTTCAATCCCCAGTTCCTCCATTAAAAAATAATCATAAAAATTAAAAATAAGTAAAATCTTACAAGAAAAAGAATTGCTGCCTTTATGTTGCCCCATTAGGGCTTTTCTAATTCAATACACTTAGCTCTTACTAGTCATATGTGAATGACTCCCACCACAGAATCCTATTAAATTGCTGACTTTCCTTTTGATGACATTAATATTACCATTTACCTTCTCCACAGTACGTGGCATATAAAGTGGTTTTAAGGGTACCAAATATCAAGTATCTTGAGAAGGGTAACTGCTAATGTAATTTTCTTCATCAGCTTCTGTGGAATATCCACCCCAAAGGGCCAACATCTATTCCATACACAAGTATGAATGATTTCCTTTTGTTTTTAGTGTTTTGCATTACCTTTTTTACTATTCTGAAATACGCATGGGAATACATAGTTGGCCTTATTCTTGCTGAGAGAGGCAGTCACCACTCTGATGTGGGGGAGACAGGGTCACTGCCTAAACTGGTTCCACCCAGCCTAAAACTGCTTTGTTACAATAAGGCCTCCAGAAGGAGGCAGAGTGTCCTGGTCAGCAGAGAAATGACAGGGCTGAGTCTTACCGAACCTGACCTGAGATCAAGATAAACAGACAAGAGATGGCGACCAGGAGTTGAGGCCAAGATGGCAGAGTAGATGGATGCAGTGCTCACCCTCTCCCATGAATACAACAACAACTACATTTACATGTGAAACAACTTGCACAAAATACCTACTAAACTTTGGGAGATTATCTCTTACATCAGAAATAAAGGGAGAATCCTCATAAAACTGGATAAACAAGTTTACACCGTATAGCATGGAGAACTATATTCAGTATCTTGTAGTAACCTATAATGAAAAAGAACATGAAAATGAAAACATGCACATGTATGACTGAAACATTATGCTGTTCACCAGAAACTGATACAACATTACAAACTGACTATATTTTAATTTTAAAAAATTAAAAGAAAATTTTTAATTAAAAAAAAAAGAGAGATGGAGGGTGAGAAAAGGGTGAGGAGGGTGAGAAAAGGCACCCAGGAATCCAACCAGATAATCAGTCACCTTACATCTGGGGTCCTCATCAACCCTCTGGGGCTCTATAAATTTAGTAAGCTGAGTATTTAAAAGCACAATTTCATAACACAGCCAATCTTGTCTGTAGTTGTTGATTCATTTCGACTCTGCTGCCTTGGAAAAAATTTCTAAAGGTCATGTTCAGAAGCACAGCCCTCCCTTTCCCTGAGCAAGAGCTATGATTACACTGTACACAAGATCCTACAAAGACAGCTGACACAACTAGCGGTTGAATTCTTTCTTCTGTTTATTTCCAGAAGAGACTTTCCATAGACAGCTGCAATGCCAGGCTCCCATCCGAAGGCCAGGCCAACCTGGCTACAGACAGCCTTCCGCCCACATTCCTGCCGTGGACCGCAGGCTATCTCCAGCAGGTCTAGCAGAGCAGAGAAGCCAGCTTCAGGGCCACTTCAGGGCTTAAGGGCACCACTTGGATCAATCAGCACAGAAGCAGCAGCATCTGCTATGCTGTAATCAGACATCTGGAGGTTCAAATTCTGGCTCAAACTTCTTACTGTGCAACATTAGACAAACACCTGAAAGTCTCAGTCTCAGGCTCCCCCGCCATAAAATGAGGCTAGGAGTACCCAGTTTCTGGAAAAGTGGCGAGGGCCACATGACAGAAGATGTGAAAAGCAATTGGCTTGATGTCTGCACTGTCATCACTAATCGTTATCACAGAAGAAAACCTAATCACCTCTAGCAGAGAATGAAAGCAGATACAATAAAATCAGCATTTCTCTAAGGGCAGACTGGTCTCCACTCCCCTCTGAGCCTTAAGGCTCATTATCTTCAAACTGAAGGCAGAGAAAGCAGTTATTTACATTTCTCTTAAACTCAGACTCAATGATTCTCCGTCTGGGCCTCTTTAAGCAGCTTCTCTGACCTCAAGGAATGCCAACAGAAGTGCCTTGCCTCTTGAGTTGGGGTAGCCAGCACAGGCATTAGCATTTCTGGGCAAGGACTCCCAGGCCCAATGCAACTTCCGTCAACAAAGGACCCACCTTGGTTGAACTCGCACGGTTTCTTGGCACCTAAAGGTATGGTCCTGTGGACTCTCCTGAGCTGGCATTCCTGTTCTCCCCTGACACTCCGACTGGCTGGGTACCACATGCTCTGTCTCCTGCAAGAAAAACAGCAAAAGCAGATGAACTGTCAGCAGCAATCAGTTTCTCAGTGTCTCTGGTGTGCGGTGGGTCTCAGGTCAGGGCAGCAGCAACACCAAACACACGCTGCCGATGGGAGAGGGGAAGCAGGCCGATGAGGGACCCAAAAGTTAAAAAGCCTCTTTCTATCAGTCAGTTGCTGCAAAGTTACAGAATAAATAAAAATAATAATAAAAATCTAAACTTTATCGACATTAACAATATTAGAGAAGAGTATTTGATGAACAGACGTATCTGAAAATACAATCTCCAGAATATTTATAGCATAGGCTCATTTTTGCAAAAACAAATGTATGAATGTATACACACACACAGACACAGACACACAGAGATTGGGATAAAGTGAACCAAATCTTAACAGTGACTAACACTAAGATGTCATTTTTTTTTCCTTTGAGCATCCATCTATATAAACATTTTTTTTTACAACAATCATACATCATTCCTGTAATAAGAAAGAAATGTTAGTCTGAAAACTAAGGAACAAATTATTTTTATAAATTCCAAATCCCCAGCATGCTTGGTCTCCATACGTCCCTCTGTCCCTTCCTCCCTTCACACCCCCCCCCAACACACCCCTACACGTGTCACTGGCTACACTACATCCAAAGAAATTACCTTATTAGTTCCATCATCCCATGATGAAATCTACTCATTAATTTAGAAAACCCCCAGAAGCTAATTCTAGAGAGTATCACAAACATGCCCAAGCTAAGATGAACCTGTACTCAATACAGGGACATACACCCAAAATGAAAGGCATACGTAAGTTCAGCAATTGAATCACTATGGTCTTTAAGCTAGGCCAAACCTCTGACAAATTTTCCTTAGGATAATATAGCCCCTCTCTACCTGATAAATGAAACACTAAGGCCAAAATCAGTGAGAAATTTAGAAAATCCAGATGGCTACTGTCATGCAGTCAAAAACATTCATGTGATGCAGTGAATCTGGGTCTGACTGTGCAGTTTATTGTGGTGACAATATAGACCAAGTTCCTCTAGTAGAGATGTGGGTTGAAGTCAGTACAAGTGCCAATACATCAGGTGTCTCAGAAGTCACTTTTCCAAACTAAGAATAATTTGGTGGGGCTATTTGCCAAGTAGTCATCACAAAATCATAGTCATAGATGCCTTCCTATAAGAGGGACAGAGTGGACAGTGGGGAGTAGAGCTAAGGAAAAGGAATGAATTAGACCTACCAGGATCCTTTCTTTTACTCCATTTTTCTAAGCCTCCAGCTTGAGGCAAGAGAACACATTATATGAAAGGCTTCCATTAGTATCCAATAGTTCCCAAGACATAGTAGCTACTTGTGAAAAATTCTACAGCTACCCAAATACTGGCCAAGATTATCCAAACAATGGTTTTCAAGTGAGATAGCTCTGCTTGCAAGTATTCTAGGTATGTGACCTCAGGTAAATTACATCAGTTAGCTGGACCTCAGTTTTTTTGTCTATAAAATGGAGCTAATACTCCAAACTCACAAAGTTGTTGAACAAAACGTAGTAGGGAAAAACAAATTTGACTTCCTATTAGATCTGTTCCTTTGGTTCCAACCCTGTGCTCTATTTCCTGTGCTTAGTCATGCTGGTCCTGTACCTTTTGTAAAAGAATGTTGCTTGTAGCCTGAAATACACATAAAGCCCATTGTCAAAGCTCTGACCTTTAAGGGTACAACACTTCCCATTCATATAAAGATTAAAAAGGTGCAGAACAGAAAATAACATTTGACTTCTTGGAGGTTTACAGGGACATCACGACCTGACCACAGGGACAACTATAAGAACAAAGGATTCTGACAAGAAATTTGCAACAACCAATCATACCCTCTCCCCTTTTTAGTATGAAAGGAGCTCAAAATTCTGACTTGGGGAAGATGGTTCTCTAGGACATTGGTCCCCAACTTCTCTGACTGCTAGTTTTCCGAATAAAGTCATTATTCCTTGCCCCCACACCTAGTCTCCCGATTTACTGGCCTGTCACATGGTGAGCAGAATGAGTCTGGACTCAGTAACAAAGATGCTCTTTTACTGCTTACCAACTGGAGGCACACAGCAGATGGAAGTTGTTGATGATATTCCTTTTATAAAGATTCCCTCAAAGCTCAATATTCTGAAATTAGTATTAAGGAAATCCTTGGACACTTAACCCAAATGAGTTCAGCAAAAGCAACCTTATTTTTGTGGTAGGATGCTTGTTTCAGGTTTCTATACTAATAGTATTATTTTAAACATCATATTGAGAAGCCTCCATACTCACAGACCTAAAGAAACAGCCCTCCTAAACTGTAAAAAATTTAAACCATAAATTTCCATTTTATTAAAACTTAATCCTTTTAGGGAAGAGCAGGGTTTTTTTCCCCCAAAGACAGTGTTTTATCTAATCCTCTGAACCAACGGAGGTTGAAAGGGTTAGAAGCCACACACTGCTAGACTCCCATGGATTTTATGAACAAAAGCAAAAATAAATAAATGACACTACATCAAACTGAAAAGCTTTTGCACAGCAAAGAAACAAACAACAAAACGAAAAAGCAGCCTATTGAATGGTAAAAGATATTTGTAAATCCTGTATCCGATAAGGGACTAAAATCCAAAACATACAAAGAACTCACACAACTCGGTAACAACAAAAAAAATCTGATTAAGAAATGGGCAGAAAACTTGAATAGACTTTTTTTTTTAAGGAAGACGCACTGATAGGCAACAGACACATGCAAAGATCCTCAACACCACTAATCATCAGGGAAATGCAAATCAAAACCACAATGAGATATCACCTCATACCTACCAGAATGTCTTTTTGATAATAGCCAACAAATAAGCAAATGTTGGTAAGAATGTGGAGAAAAGGGAACCCTCATGTACTATTGGTGGAATATAAATTGGTACAGTCACTATATAAAACAGCACGGAGTTTTCTTTAAAAATTAAAAACAGAACTACCAAATTGTAACTGAGCAGGACCCTACTGTCATCAGTGACCACCTGATATCTGTAATGGTGTTTGTAACTGGCTTAGCTGTATAATGGTTTCAAAGGTTTTTCTCCTGCCCCTGCTGACCAGAGTTAGGCTGGAAAGGAGGGAGGCTTGCGTAGTCCACCCAACCCCCTTGTGGTGCTGGTGCTGCCTGCAGGGATCATGCTCAGTGACCTGCTTTTGCCCTCAGTGCCTTGTTCGTGACACCAATGCCCTCCTCTTGACTCCAGTACCCTCTTCTGGACCGCTTCTGGTTTCTTTGTATCCTGTTGTTGAAGCTGCAGGTCCCAGGCCTCAGGCTGCTTAAAGGCTAAAAGCATTTATCAACCTGACTCTGAACTATACAAGTTTTTCTCTAGAGCTCTTTTCCATGGAGTCCCTTCTTATGCATCCTTTGTTCTAGGTACAAGAATATTAAGACAGTTCCAAAGCCAGAGGTGAACTTCATACCCAGTAGAGGGAAGATCACTGCATCTACAAAAATAAGAACAATTTTGCAACAATTTGTTACCCTGTATGTCATCTCTATGGAAACTAGCTCCACCCCCTTGAACTTTTACTATAAAACCCCCTGCCTTCTCTTCCCAGCAGGCTCACAGTCTTAAGAGTCATTACCCCACAGTAACTTCCTTTGCCTGGCAAAGAAATAAAGCTGCCTTTTCTACTTTATCCAAAACTCTGTCCTGGAGTCTCAATAAGGTAAGTGGGGTACAGAGGCCATGTTTTGGCAACAATAGGATTCAATGATTCCATTTCTCGGTATTTATCCAAAGAAAATGAAAACACTAATTCAAAAAGATACATGCACCCCTATGTTGAAGCATTATTTACAACAGCCAAGATATGAACGCAACCTAAGTGTCCACAGAAGAAGGGATAAAGAAGATGGTACATACACACACATACACAGTGGAATATTACCTAGTCATAAGAATGAAATCTTGCCATTTGCAAGAATAGGATGAACCTAGAGGGCTCATTCTAGAGGACACTATGCTAAGCGAAACAAGTCAGACAGAGAACAACAGACAGAATATGATTTCACTTATATGTGGACTCTAAAAAACAAATAGACACACAGATACACAGAACAAACCGATGGTCACCAGAGGAAAGGTAGGTGGGGGATTGTGCAATATAGGCGAAGGAGATTTAAGAGATATAAACTTCCAGTAATAAAACAAGTCACAGTTATGTTATGCACAACATAGGGAATACAGTCAATAATACTGCAGTAACTTTGCTTGGTGACAGATGGTTACTAGACATATCATGGTGATCAATTAGTAATGCATACATATGTTGAAACACTGTGTTGTGCACCCGAAACTAATGTAACACTGAACGTCAACTATACTTCAATTTGAGAAAAGCAATCACCACTATTCACAATAGCCAAGACATGGAAGCAACCTACATGTCCATCAACAGACGGCTGAATAAAGAAGTTGTGATATATAATACACACATACATACACACTGGAATACTACTCAGCCACAAAAAGAATAAAATAATGACATTTGCAGCAACATGGATGGACTTGGCATTGTCATACTAGGTGAAGTAAGCCAGAAAGAGAAAGAAAAATACCATATATGGTATCACTTATATGTGGAATCTAAAAAATAAAAGGTACAAATGAACTTACTTATAAAACAGAAACAGACTTACATAGAAAACAAAACTATGATTACTAGGGAAGGGAAGGACGGAGGGATAAATTGGGAATTTGGAATTTACAGATACTATATACACTATTCAGTATCTTGTAATAGTCTGTAATGAAAAAAACATGAAAAGGAATATATCTATGTTATAAATAAATCACCATGCTGTACACTAGAAATTAACACATTGTAAACTGAATATACTTCAATAAAAAATTTTTAATAAAATTTAAAAAAACAATCACCAAGAATATTGATAATTAAGAGAGGTATATTAAAGTAAGACATCCCCACCCCCAAAGAACTTT